GTCGGATACAGGGTGGAGTGTACTAGGGTACAAGACAGTTTGTAGGGCATAGGGTGGTCTGTAGGGCACAGGGTGGTCTGTAGGGCACAGGGGGCAGACTGTAGGGTACAGGGTGGTCTGTACTAGGGTACAAGACAGTTTGTAGGGCACAGGGTGGTCTGTAGGGCACAGGGGGCAGACTGTAGAGCACAGGGTGGTCTGTACTAGGGTACAAGACAGTTTGTAGGGCATAGGGTGGTCTGCAGAACATACAGTGCTGTGCAGGTTCCTGGGTTTATAACATCTTTATCAGTGATATCTGCACAAACACAAGGAAACTTTAATAAGTTTTGAAAATCAAGGTCACAAAAAGACTATATCCCTGAAGGCAATAATACTCAATTACCTTGTAAGGCCTTCTTCTTTCAGGTTGTTTCCAACGAAGATAGATCAGGCCAGCTGACAGAGCACCACTTGATGTCCACAGCACAAAGTTAAAATAGTTAATCAAGGTGTAAACATCCCTTCCGAACACGTACACACACGTCAGGAAAGTCTAAAAGGAGTAAAAAAAAACAACTAAAGATTACTGTTCACTGCAAAAAGACAACGCACATCAAAGCTTCATTGTTCAGTGCTTTCAACAAGGTAACTTGCCTCAATGTCAGTTTTTGAAATAACTAGCTGACTATGCTGAACAAGCCGGCTCAATGGAGATGCCACATTATTAGGTGCATATGTACCATGAGGGAAATACAAACAGCCTGATCGTGGGTAATTAAGCCAACATATGTATATGAATAGGATGAGTTAATTACTAGATCTTTCATTAGAGGTACTTTGTTTTACAGGAAATGTATCACAACTCGGCCAAGAATGCCTTACATTGTGGTACATTGTATGTTCAGTTTGGAAAATCTAAGAAAAACACTTTTGATGTCATGTTTATAGCTCCTTAGACAAATATACCTTCCAATTAAAACTGTAAGACTTTCTTCCACCGATTCAGACAGATGAAAGAAGAATCCAAAGTATAAACCTCTTTGCTGAAAATAGTGGTTATGTCATTTTTGTCTGTTCTGGTTACATACCACAAGAAGTAGAGCTGGCATTGGCGTCTTCCTCTTGATGTCAATCATTGCGAGGAAATTCGGTAGTTGTCTGTCTCTAGCTCCGACAAAGAACATTCTATGGCACAGTGACAGCATAAAAGCCTGGGTAAGAGTCTATCGGCACGTTTATGAGGGGAACAACCGTAATGTATGTGCGCTGAACTTTTTAACGCCATCAAACTAGATAGATAAATGCCCAAACTACAAAGTGAACACATACAAAAATATAATTATGAACATTCTCATCTGTGATTTTTACCTAGAAAGCCCAAGCAGGCTGCCATTGTTTGAACCAAATGTGGACATGGCGACGAAAATCGGCATACACCATGCAACGACCCCAAGCAACTTGAGACCAAATGTCTGAATCAAAAAAGAGAGAAAAGTGTGGAGGAGGAAAGGAGATGATGAAAAAAACATGATGGGCATGAGTCATGCCATGGTCAAATAATTCCTTGAATCGGGAACATTGATGTTTGCTCTGGCTTGGTGAAGGAGTTCGTCTTATGTGCCTGTCATATGAAATATGGAAATGAGGAGTTCTGACATGAGAGATTTTGCATGTTAACAGGAATACATATATACACCTTTTCACTATTCATATCGGTTACCGGCTAGTCCAATGTTCAGCAACATACTAACAGTAGAAGCAAAATTGAAAGCTGGGAGCCCTTGATGAAAACATCTTGGTTGTTGCTAATTTAATTTTGAAACATGCGCAGACAACACAAGGCACATGCATTTTTGGTAATTCATCCTAATGTTTGGTCCATGCAGTCACGCATGAATTGAAACTGAGACTTGAACACATTTGACTGCCGACAAAACTGCTGCATTTTATTTGTTTTGTCGTCAGCAATGCTAACCTGTTCAATTTATAATATAAAAGACTTTTGTGTACAACAAGCATACTTGCAGAAATCAGTTCACCTGTCAATACATGGTTGGCAGTCAACGTCCAAGTAACAATTTAATATAAGAGATTTGATGTGGCCAGCTATGAGCAAATATATGTAGATAAGGTCCAAGTCATGCTGGACTGAGTGACTGCCGATTCGGCATACTTGACAGGGTAATCTGTACCTTGAAAATGCAAGAAAACTCCCGTTATTGGAGCCGTGTGTTGACATGGCCACCGATACTGGCATAATCCATGCCACCACGCCAAGGAGCTTCACGCCAAAATGCTAACATGACCGCAAATGAGTTGAGAGTATACCAAAATCTTCGCTAACCGAAAATTTCAATGTAGGTACACAAGAATTCACAGGTAAGTCCCTCTGGTAAGTAGGGGATTTGAGGGGAACTTTGGAGTTTGTCTTAACTATGGAAAAGTTTATCTGGGTATAAAAAGGAAAAGTAATATGCACAGATATCCCCTGCACTCTATACATCTTGTGACTATGTCTTCAATTCTTTTTCATCAGTATGCAACATGATTAGCCACAGTCAAAGACACTGATGCCTTTCTCAACAAAGCCTGATGTCCAAGATGAAAGATCAGAAACTGGGAAGCACATGACATCAGTACAAACAACCAATTAACATATCCTTGCAAAAGAAACGTATTTCCATACAACTGGAGAGTGTCTCACACACACCACCCAACCATAAAATGGTGCTTAAAAATGTAGTTAAAGAACAAACAAATGAGCACAAGAAACTTTCAAGTAATCCTCGTAATGGGTATACTTAAGTGGACTCTTTTACAGCACAATAACTGACATGACAAATATGAAAGCAGATTTTCGTAATTACAGTAACATCTTCTGTCAGCATGTACTAAAAAAGTAGTCAAGACCAACACAAGGTGCTCTGAACAAGAATCCCTTCACAAATCCAATCAATAGTCCTTCTTATGAGACCAGTCACAAGTAATAGGATGGACAGTGACAAAGGAATGCTCATGTCACAGCTCACTTAAATAGCTTGTGACTTGACGTGCGACTGGATGGTCCATGATGGACTCACTTGACCTTGTGATGGACTGGACTACAACCGTGGTACGTGCCCATGTGTTTGTAGCCAGCAAAGACCTGGATCTAGACCTCTTGATACATCATTCAGACGCAGCGTTTAATCCAATTGATTTACTGCCTTACCACGGCAACGGCATCGGAGGCGAGCAGTTCCTGGGGCGACATGGCAGTGAAGTAGGCAACATTGGCAAATACATAGAAGACTGTCACAATAGACATGGTGATGTAGATGGCGCGAGGTAGATTCCTGTGGAAATATACAGATATCTTGACAGTTTGCCCACGCCTGTGTATTCATGCGATTCTCAATCTTTTGGGAGAATTTTCCTAGCAGTAATTATCAAATGTGGCATCTGACTATTACCCAGTTTTCTTGGCAATACTTTTCAAAGTGACTGGGTCTTATGTGAAAGCTAAGCCGTATTTTAGTAAGCAATTTTGGTTTTACATCAACATTTGGGTATAAAGAGCTGTAATCATTTGGAAATTTGGACTGAGTCCAGGACATATAAAAACTGTGCATCATCTCCTTGGCAACAACCATGCCAGCTTACGTAAGAGCAGGTTGAAGGAATTTCAAACTTACTTGTGTGGATTTCGTAGTTCCTCAACAACATTATTCAAGTTATACCTGAGCAGTGCCAAACAAGAATACATTAAGATGACAAAGGTAGAGATCTGGTCAATCCTGTCATTCTAAGGGGGGCAAAGAATAATGTAGTCAGCGTGGGAAAGAAACATTTAAATTGAACACAGAGTTTTAATTGTATACTGCAAGAAACTGTCAAAGGATTGCGAAATCTTGTCATCTTGTTGAAGAGCTTTGGCACGAAGAAAGAATTTTTTCCCTTAATTTGAATCATTAGTTTCACATCTGCCTGCTCTGAAATGCTCTGGAAAAAAGTCAAGTTGAACTATTGACAGAAACTGCTTTCAAATTTAAGATTTTAAATTGAGATTTGATGCACAAAAACCTCAAAATGCAAATGAAAAAGTTTTGAACTTACCAGCCTGCATATGAGAACAATCCAGAATACAGGGCATTGCCAAGACCAGCATAAGTTGTCCCTTCGAATGAGTTTTCAAAACTAGCTGTTTCCCCTTTTGAATAGAACAAAACATTAAAAACTCTCGATTTGTATGTAACTTAGATAAGTAATTGTGCCCAGTTGTTTTGGTCCTCATGGCCATGCACATTTAGGACAGCGGTGTCCATGGTTTGTTCAGTAGACATTGTCAGGTATCCATTAAATGCAAAGGGTGTCCACAAATTATCCAACTGTTCCACAACATCCACCGACACTGAGCCAAACACAACCAAAATTGCAAAAACAATCCATTTCAGTTGATGCAATTTGATTTAATTCCTTTCAAAAATGAAATTTTTTTCTTTTTTTTTTCTCTGTGCATTGGGAAAATAAACTTTTGCAAAAAACAAGTACAGCCAAGGTATCAACATCTAAACAAAAAATTGACAATAAGTTAACATAGCATGCACAGATGACATTTGACACTCCAATTTAAAATTTGTTCTCTTTCTTTCTTGTCACAAGTCTCACATTGTGAATGTGTCGCAAGTTATAAGAAAACAGGTAAAACCTAGACCTCTAAGAACCATCAAAACCCATCAGTTTTGTAGGATTGTGAAGGAAAAGTAGCACTTCAAAGATTACTGTTTTATGCATGAAGGGACAAATACTCTTAAACCCACCTTTGAAGAGTTGGACACAACCCATAACAATGATGATGGTCAATGCCAACATCTTGAATACAGTGAAGACATTCTGCACTGTGGTTGTTAGGCGAACACTGAAGATGTTGAAGAAACCGCACAGCACTGTAAGGAAGCACGGTGCAAATGTATTCAGATATCGATAACAAGAGGATTTTTGAGAATTCTGAGAAAAATGAACTGGCAAAAGAGTACCTTAACTAGTAAAGAAATATTCTCAGGTTTTAAATACCAAGGAAATTGGTGATAAACAACAGTGTGATGTGCCAAATTGGCTCTGTAGAGATTTGCATTGGTTTGAAAATTTGTCCGGATGGGTGTTCCTGTGAAGTGTTGAAATCTTTGTGACTACATCAAAAAGATATCTCTCTTGGTTAAAAAGGGGATTATTCTAACAACCTGTTTATGTAAGACTCGCTTCTTGAGTCAGAGGAGTATTAACCTTTGGAATGAAGTTAAAACAACACTGTTTAATGAAAATAGGCATGGTACAAGGACTAATGCTGGATCCTTAATTACAGACAGCACTGCAGAGTCTGTCTTACTCAACTCTGTTGGTTGTGAACTGACCTGACATTTGAATCTGCTGGTTCCAAAATCCACTTTCTTATCGCGAGAGAAATATAAAGCTCCCATTGTGCTTGGCAAAACCCCACAGGGTTTACTTCTCAATCCCTCAAAGATTCTCATTCGTCCAAAGTTTACTTCCCTTGTCTTCAATGAATATATTCTTGACAAGCAGCTTTTAGAAAGTTTTTATTGTTTTCATTTTGATGATTGCACTGTTATGGAACATGGCACACTCACATAAAGAGTTCAAAGCTAGAAGCTGAATCGCAGCCATGGGCGGTCCACAGTCGGCAGAAGGGAAGAATGGCTGGACGGCATAGCGACCAAAGGTGATGGCCACCACCGCGCAGGAGGCTGGCACCTGCATGATCAGTGAGACCCAGAGATACAAGAAGGCCACAAACTCGCCGTAGATGGCCCGCAGGTAGAAATAAAAGCCGCCTGAGGAAGGCAGCATGGTGCCCAGCTCGGCAAAGCAAAGAGCTCCCAGGAGAGAGATGATGCCAGCTAGGACCCATACCACCAAGGTCATTCCAACTGAGCTTACTCCCAACAGAACACCTGCAAGGAGGCAAGGGAGAAAAAGGGTAACAACATATCCCTCTGAGATCCTGTAAGGGATGCAACTCATATCATGACAGGAAAGGTGAAGGATGCCAAAGCAGATTTGCATTATCTGTAAAAAAAAGAAGATTCCTCCATTTTCAAGTTACCTTTTGGGGACACGAAGATCCCCGAACCAATGATAGTTCCCACATTGATAGCTACGCCGCTCACCAGAGAGATCTGTCGCTGTAGCTTGACTTTACTTCCGTCATCTTCCTCGTCAAGCTGCCATTTAGAAAAAAAAAGACATTAAATCAGTCATAAATTAATTTACAAAAACCTTCCTCAGGAAACGAAATCAAGGGTTCCTACAAAGTACACAAGAAATGTAAGCTTGGCAGTTTGATAAAAAAAAATCAGTATGCCGGGTTTCAACAGTAGGAAAAAAATTAAGACACATTCGAGGACACAAGTATTAAAAGATGGGGCCGGACCATTCAATCCACTTGTTGGCCATTCAATCCACTTGTTGGCCATTCAATCCACTTGTTGGCCATTCAATCCACTTGTTAGCCATTCAATCCACTTGTTGGCATGGGTGGGATTCCACCCAAGGTCCCAGAGAGGGAAGGTGAAGAAGACCCTCTGCAATGCCAACCGGAATGGCTGAATCCCTGATGATGGATGCTTGCATTGAAACTCCTGCCAACAATTAATCAGGAACTAATTCCAAAAGGGAAGCCACTTGACACCCTGTGCGCAAACCCTACAAGACTGGTCTGACAAAATTTAAGTTTTTTCAAAGTGAATACCTCAGTATTTCCAATGCTAAATTTGATGTTTCAGGTCTTGTTATTGTTCGTGCTTTCAGATGGCTGTCCGTATATAGAATTCTTTCTCATTCATGAAGAAAGCCATGACCACAGATGACCAATCAACCTTTCCCCCTCTTGGTAAATGAAAATGAACCAGCCGTGAGCCTCCCTGCATCATCAGAAATGTTGCAGGAGGTCTTGTGATAGGCTCGTTGGTAAAAGTCCCAGCTCCACAGTGGAAGATGCTATGCTACAATAAGGTTGGGAACTTGGGACCATGTGTAACTAGGACTCTGCTATCAACAGATCATGACCAAATATTTAAAGAAGCAAGTTGTGGAGTCCTAATTAATTACTGGCACCATTCCCAAAACCTTGCTTGGTGGTGCCCCAACAGTGGCATGAAAGGTTGGAATCGAGTTTGGGCAACAGTTTGGAATGACAAAGCCCTGGACTTGGGCCAGTTTGATTGGACTACCTCTGTATCCTTGGCCCAAAACATAAACCCGAAAAAAGAAGGGACAGGCCTATACCCTGTCAAAAAGGTTTCTATGTGCCCAATATTTCTCATATAGTTTCAATCGTCAAAGCATTTCATTTATTCCTCCAAACTGCAATCCCCTCGATTGTTCCTGTTCGTGAAATTTGGATGTCTTTGGTAGTCTTAACGNCTACAATTTGTTTACTACAATAATGATTCACTGACTCCCAACATGGCCTGGATGTGTTGGGCGCGATCGTTGGGACAAAACGGTGTTTTTCGACGGGTTGAGAGTAATTTACACAACGGTGTTCCTGTCTGAAACTCTGACCATTAATTCAAGTGTCAGGAAAGGTTTTGTCGACAATGAATAACCCTATCGAATATAAGTATCGCTGAGGTCGACGTGAACCAGTCGATTATCATCACCAACTGATCTCTGCAAATCTTCCTTTCAGTTTAGGCCTCTCCCAGTTAACATCACGTTCAATTTTCGTTTCACAATTTCAAACGGTAAAGCTATTCTGTCACCTTTCAGTTTTAATGCTGAAGATATTTTCATATTTACAAAAGTGTGCTATCATCCCGGGAGGAAAACCTCGACGTTGGCTTATTCAGCTACCGGGTACCGGTAATAATGCTGAACATTTTTCAAAGATTTTGTTAGCTCTGATTCTCTTTTCTTGAGGAAGTAGGCCTACCGAGCAAGAAGCAAGCATTAAGCGATCTTTTCTCAGAGGTGAACCCCAGTGAGTAATTTCTGGCAATGCCCCCCCTTCCGTCACCGGTGACATTGGGATTAAGGCAATATGAAACTTGGTATAAAGATTTCTATCGTTAAGTTTGTCACGTAATAGACAGTCTGTTATTTTCCTTTATCTATGCATTTATTTTCTTAACCAGAAAACATCGGTTGGAGATTGAAGACGTAATTCTTGCAACATTCTGAGAAGACATTTGATTTCATCCTGAAAGAATGTTTAAAGCATACTAGACTCGACGCTTGACAGCACAATTTTCTTGAATCCTCCGAATAATATTCAGTACATTACACAAGCAATAAATGATTGCTATTTTGCCAGGAAGAGAAATGTTTACTTGTCCGTGTTGGTTCACAGACGCATCTGAGGTGTTTAATAGTCAATATTAGGCAAAGAAAAAATGTCTCCAGTCTTTAATGGTTAACAGCGATCCCGCAATTAACACACGCAGGAATAGGCCCTAGTTGGGAAAGCACCGCAGTTCGGAAACGAGCGAATGGCAAATTTACTCAGTGCAGCGAGTCGCGATCGACCGATCCGACGCCGTTTAGCCCCAAGTACTAAACGCGGTAAAGGCCCCAAGTTAATCAGTTTCACGGTTATTACGTCTGTCGCCAATTTGTTCATCAACCATGTTCGGAGCAGCTTGCGATTTTCGTTGCTAATTACGAAGCAATGTGCCTAGATTTTTTTCCACGAAAACTTCCGACTCCAGAGCAACACAACAATTCCCCCTTACAAGACTTCCCATTCTTAATTCGAAGAAACAACAGGTGCGCCTACAACAGGTGCGCCTACAATAGGTGCGCCTACCCACAGTGATGCATTTTTGAAAATAAAAGAGCGCTGATTGCCCATTTCCATCAGAAAATGATACGTGTAGAAGCTTTTCAAGCATGATGGTTCGAATTAAGGCGGGCGGGCGCGTAGTCGCAGTGTTGTTTGCCCGTTGCTTAGAGTGTTCGTGTCATACAGGCTAACACATGTTATGCTTATTATGGAGCAATAATTGATTTGAAAATTTGTTGTAACTGGTGTGTATTAAATATCTCTGTCGTGAATTTTTTGCTTCCATGCCACGAATGTGCCGAATTTGCTCTTCGGTCCTCCACTCCGTTTTAGCACTCAAGCCACAACCCCAAGCCACGCCACCAAAGAAGGGATACGACGAGAGATGCTGACGGTGGGCGGGTGTGTGATCAGGGCCTACACAGTTCAACCTGTACAGTTTTATTGTTCTCAAAGGTGTTTATGAAGGGATCGTTCGATGTTTGACATTGTAATAGATAAGGCCAACGCAATCAGCCTACATCATTCTTATCGGCGCAGTTTAAATAATTCAGAGGTTAGGAAAGTGACCATTACTCTCGAGCCCGCACGCGCCTTTAAAAAATAGCCTACATCAGGTGAGCGGTCTTCTGACGAGAGCAGGGTGGGGGCTGAGTCTAAGTGAAGGTTAATTCCCGGTGGTTCCCGTGCCACCCCCAACTTACACTGACTGCCGATTTACCTTCGTCCTTCCAGTTAGTGGGACATCGTCCCCTTATTGCAAAATTAGTTTTGCCAAAGTGCACTTTAAAAAGGTATCCATAAATGGAAAGGAAATCTCCAAGCTGATGTCGTTGGATGCCTCTGCAGACTCGGCTTATCCAGTGATAAATTGAAAGAATCCTTAAAAAGTGTAAAGTTTTCGGTATGTGGGATGGAAAGAGCTTTATTTCGTGGAGGGGCGACCAACGAGATTTTGTGAGACTTGCGGACTTTCCAGCTCTTCGAACAGGCTAAAGGCTCGGCACGACTGAACTGTTCCTGCAATTGATTGGTTTATTAGAACTATTATTCCAATTCGGCAGAATCAAATAGTTCCTACCTCTCAATCCACCCCTCCCTGGCCCCCCAAAAGGGAACTGAGTCTGTCAGAAACACAATTCGGCTATTGAAACACATACACGTAAAATCTGAACTTTGGAACCTCACTGTTAATACCCCGGTTCGATTCTCCAAGGTCCGTAAAATCATTGTGGAAAAAGTAGCATTGATGATTAACTTGGTAATGTGTAATTAAAAAGCTGTATCCCAGAAGCTTAGCTAGATATCTTGTTAAAAGTCTATCTAGATAAAAGGTCGCCTTTGTGAGAGCGTCTGTAGGCTGATAGCAGCCCAGGTACCGACATATTGACACATGCGAGAAAAAACTGGTGAAGGTAGCAGGTTATATAGGATGTCTCAATGAAGAGAAATGACTGCAATACAAGTCATCAGTGACGTAAATTTGTGCTGGAGATTGGGGGGAGGGATGGGGAATTGTGCAGGGGGGGTTGAATTGGCCGGCCATGGGAATTTTAAAAGCGGGGGGGGGGCTGACACGGGAGCGATACTCATGATACAGATGTACATTCTGTACTTACGTCAAAGCCGCGTGTTTGTGGCCTATTTGATAATGGTCTCCCTTTTTGAGTGCCGTTGAATATCATTTTGACTGTTGGGAAGTACAAAAATTCTTTACAATCCGCTTTCATTTTTTTTTCTTGCTATGAAAAGTGTGTGCGGAGGTGGGGTGGGTGTGTTTGAGTTTGTTTCTGCATTCGATTGGGACCCTGAACAATCGAGGACAATAAGGTCCCCGATTGACAGAGGGTCCCCGATTGACAACTGTGTACAAACAATAGGGGTCCCCAGTTGCAGGCAAATACACATTTGGGTGTGTGTGTGATGGGGGGATTCAATAGCCCACTTCCCCATCCCAAATGTGGCGGGGATGGGGTTTTAAAACCCCATCCCCCGGAATTTTCGCCCATTAAAAGTCACTCTATCTTCATCAACAAGGTCAAACGGGCAAACTAGAGACTCTAAAAAGACTTTGCGCAAAAGTAAAAACAACTTCACGTTGCGAATTCGCAAAAGTTGAACACATTTCAACTCGAGCGAAATTTGGCTGCAAATCTTTCGTGACGTCAAATTCGCGTCCCTTTCACGTTCGCCTGAAGTATGAACGAGTCTTCATACGGTCACATTCAAAATGCGTACACGCAAGCGTACGTTGGAGACAGAGGTCTGACATTTCGGAAACTAAAGGGCAACCTATTTTGAATAATGATCATTTCCACGGAAATAAAATTTGGAAGAGAGATGATACCAATTGAAATTCCCAAATGTATAAATAGCGTTATTACCCGAGGCCTTTAAACAACTTTTAAGTTGTCTTGTTTTAATCAACGCAAAATACAAATTGCGACAAGCGGGTGCGAATGAGGGGGGGTCAACATCCTTCTCATTGCCATTTCTAGCAGCTTACTTTTAAAGGGTGCAACCCCCTCTAAGATCATAATCCCTTGCATGTTTAGTGAAGAGTAAAACGTTAAAATGGTTTCAACAACAGCGACAAAATACAGAACCCTAGCTCCCCCCCCCCCCGAGAAAATTGACCCCGGTCCCCGGCAAAAAAACAATAAAAAAGATCCTGGATTCGCCCCTGAAAAGGCTAAGTATAGCTGCTGGCACATGTTTTTTTTTGTGCTGGTACCATCAATTACAATATAAACATAGGAATGCATGGTCTGAGCTGAAGCATGCATGGGAAATGACATTACGAAATTCACATTAATCGTGCCGAATGTCTCTCAATGGACGGTAAGGCAAGATGCGGGTACCGTAATTTGAAAAAAGGCAGCACCTCGCCTTTCCAAAAAGATGGGGATGGAAGCGGCTGTGGTATACGCAGGTGTAGCTGGGAATAAGTACTTTTGATTACAAACGTGCACACATTCCTGATCCTGTGCGCTGATATACAAATTATTGTACCTGGGGTCAACGGCATTGGCAGCACGGTATTATAACCTGCCGCACTACCAATGCCGTTGATCCCAGAAAATTAATTAGATAATGGATTTCCGTGTCATAGTGTGGAGAGGTCAATGTGCTTTTACAAAATTCGTGCTTTCTTGTTCAAGTGTTTCATGCAATCGTGCCATTTTACAACCGGTATCTAATTTGCATCTAAGGCTCCACTTAATTTGAATTGCATGCATGCAGGTATAGGCCTAGGTAATGGTTTTTTATTTGAATAGAGTCGTTCAAAAGTGGTTAAGGGTTTCAGTATGATATACAGGAAAACGATCTTTGGGAACAATGCAAAAAATTTGGAGAAAAATGAAGAGGGTAATTCCCTGCCAAATCTCTCAAATTTCGATAAAATTGTCACGCAACTAACGCCAATTTGGGCGAAAAACGAAAACAAACGCGCACACAGGTGTGTATTTGCCTGCAACTGGGGACCCCCTATTGTTCCTCTTTTGTTTGTACTTCAACTTTTTTAGAAGACCACCCATATGTTTTGTACACAGTTGTCAATCGGGGACCCTCTGTCAATCGGGGACCTTATTGTCCTCTATTGTTCAGAGTCCCCAATTGAATGCAAAAACAAACTCAAACACTTCCATCCGTTAAAATTCCATCATTTTGCTTTAATTCCCACTGGCACACCAGAGTACATTAAAATATTATTAAGGCCAACGATAAGCAAGGCCATTATCACGCTAGCCTGGCAGATCATGCCTACTTCCAGAACTGTAAGGCACATGTAACCCCGAGCTAAGGTGATGTGCCTTGCAGTTCTGGAAGTCCGTCGCGGAAATCATTAATCCACGTTGGACTTCGGTTGGGCGCCGGGCAATGATCATTCTTCGGCCCGCGATTGTGCACGCACTCAGCACATGCTACACGGGGAGTGGCGTATCCAGTTTGTTTTTGTTCGTCTGTTTTAGTTTGGTATCAAGGAACCGAAAGCGCTCTAGAAACGGTACCACCGCCTTTGGGGGTGCAGATGACTGCTATCGTAAGGATGAAAATAACTGAACAATCATTTTTTTTTGGAAATTCACCCCCCCCCGACATGGACACGCCACTGGCCACAGTTTTTATTAAATAAAATTTGGCCTGTTCGCGATCGTGGTAAGTTGACAGGGACGTTAGTTTACCGTATGTTACCCCTGGATTTAATTTAGTAATTCTACAGGAAAGTCGCGGTAAGTTAACCAAAAAAGTCCAATGGGAACAAGGCTTAACTCCATCCTTAACTCATCATGCAGAACAATGAATACGCGAAAAACAATGCACGCAGAGGTGCCGGTACATGTATTATTTCCTGACCCGAGGTCAGCTGACTGCCATGCAGCACGGTCAGCTGGTTTACCTTAAGGTTCATGGAACTATCGAAAGACAAAAGCAAACTTAGTTCGGATGAAATAGCACTGGCGTCTCTGCTCATTATACCGATACAAAATATTCGGTCTTTTTTCCCCATCCCTGAATTATTATGCGTGGCTTGATCAAAATAACGCGTAGGTTGTCCAGCTATGATGATGCGGGCAGCAAGACCGCGCACACTACTGCTCCTGCCGTGTTAAAAGTTTGTGAAAACCGTCGGCCAAACGCTATTCTATCCAGCACATGTGGAAACGACCCCAGCTTTCAGTTAAACGGGTATGTAATCTTTTTTTTCAAACGGTGGAATTTGGCGTGGCAGGCAGTCGACAATTTGACCGTCGTCGTTGCAGGAGAAGGGCGGTAATTGAGGGTGTAGTCATTATATATAACTGACTGCATACGCCATCTTTTCACATTAATGAAGCAATTATTCATATCAAACAACAAAAGCCGATCATTAAATGCCACGTGCATTGTTAACCACGAAGATCATAGATCGAATGCAATCCTAAATGTCGGAATTGTTTCTGACAAAATATCCGACTTTTTGTCATTCCCAAGCAAAGTACAGTGATAGCGATAAAATGTGCAAGTTTCATCTCCAACAAGATTTCAGACACATTCTAAGGTTAAGACAACAGCTCTGTTCTACGAGACTCTCCAACCATGCTGCAACGACCTATAGATTGTGCCAAGGTTATGAAGTTACCCAGAACATTGCTTTGGGTTTTTTGTTTGTTTGGTGGTTGTTTAATTCTTCGCGATTCGTCGAGACAAACCTTCAACATAAGGGCCTAATTACAGCTGCTCCCACATGCGTTTGTCCTGACACTGACAGCCAAACGATTGCTCATCAAATAAACAAATTCATGTTCCCCTTCCCCCTTTTATTGAGGCGTATTCAGCGGGGGAAAGATAGGCAAACTGCCCGAGGCACATTTTGCTTCTAGTAAAATGTTTCTAAAGAAAGTTGCATCCTAACTACTTCAGCGGTTATGTACCAAGCCAATGAGGAGTCAAGAAAATGTATTTCCAAACAACATCGGATTTCGTCTCAGTCTCAGATTCATGTATTTGGCGCATTCCTGCGATGACTAATCCTTATAAGATGATGCATGATGAAAGAAAGTGGAGGCAGGATGCAGCATTGCACCCTCAAAACAACCTAGTCAAAATGTTCAAAATTGACAACGGATTCAGTCAAACACCCACGTTGGCAAATCATGCTTTCTGACAAGATTCCCATTCGATGCTCTTTGAAATATCAGTGAACTGACGGGAAAAAAATCTAGTTAGGTTGACTAATTTACAGTAACACAAAGGTGACCTTGAAGAGCTAGTCAAATTTTTACTGAATTCTAGTCAAATTTGACTGATTCTTTTTAGAGTGAACATGTCAGAACAATGGAGCTTTTTGCTTGCGACCTCCCCGTATCAACGCCACAGCTCCCCTCAGTGAGCATAGTACATGTACGCTGTCTTTGTCTACACCTACCCTGGTCGGGGAATCTCCGGTCTCCCGAGGGTCGGGGTCTTGTGCATGGTCGGCCACCTCGGCTGCTGTCATCTGACCGGTCGATCCATTGGCTGGCTTGTTCTCCATGCTCTCTGTACAGCAGGGTCTGGACTGTTCAGGGCCGATTGTCTCCAAATCGATTGTCTAAGTGGCTGTTGTTGGACTGATCAGCGCTAGCTGTCCACTACTCTTGCTACCTGTCCCTGGTCAGCCGGCAGCTGACTGGATGAGAAGAGTTCAAGTTAATGCGGTTGATCATTAGGCAGAGTGACCACAGCGCATACTCGTGACGTCTTTTCGAGACAAAGCGGCTCTACATACATGAGCCGAGGGTATACCGTGATGAGTCCGTCCGGTCCTCTCGAGGAGGGGGCGGTTGTTGAACCCCACGTCACCGTCACTACCACGGAGAACAATGGCTCTTGTGACCAGCTCTGCGAAATGAACGAGTGTCAAATGGTTTTTACCATGCATTTTATATGGCACAGCGACCCAAGTACACTCGAGGCTGACGTTAGAAGACAACGGCTGTTTCATGTGTGAAGTTTTTCATTCATCGGTTCCGCAGCTGGCTGCCTCGCTTGTTTCATTACGTAATATGATTTCTGAGCCACGTCTGAGTTTCTAGGCTACAGCTTGAATTTACACACGAGTCTTCGGTAGTGGCTGTAACCATATCGCCGTGTGTAATTTCAAGCCGCAGCCAAGTCATTCGCCGTACATGCCTTAGGTACCCAGAGAAACTTTTCGTCTAAAAAACCCTTGACGTCTTGAGAAAGATATCGATATCCAGCAATAATTCATAACGGAGTGACAACATCACTGAGAGAATTTATTACGGGACGACAACATCCAATGAGGAGGATGTCGGCATCCCTCGATAACGGTACCACTTTTACGATATTGTCATCGTCATCCTTTGAGGAACCGCCTGCCCCTGGATGTCATCCTAAGTTTGGGATGTCGTCCTCCTGCCAAAATCAGGATTTTGACATCGTACCTCTAAAATGTTCAAGTCGTTTCCCATGGATGGATAAAGTAATCAACCGGAGGGGTTGGTTGAGAACTCCGAATCCAGAATTGGAGCAAGATGAAGAGACAGTATAGGTTGAGGGCCTGTTGCTCCCACTTCAAGGCATTCGTGACAGCTGACTTTGCAACTACTGTTTTAAGCAATTCCCGATGATTGTTATCAGTGAGAATTTCAGTATTTCGCAACGTCAGGAGACAGTTTCTTTCCTCTCCAGAACATGACGAAGTCCTTGGACGGAATCATCACTTCTGGGTAAATCTCCCAGACCATTAACCATCAAAACGAAATTGGCGAAATTTCAATCGTGAAACAAACCTGGGATGACTGCACTTTCATGGAGAAAAAGTGAAAGGAGCGGGGAAAGTAGGTCGGAAATTTGAACCTGCAAAAAGCCAAGATGCGTGCTGACTTTATTTTGATAACCAAGCTACAACCTGTTCAAATGTCTCCCGCAGTTTACGCTGAAAACATATTTTGGAACGATAACGAAGTCGGCGTAGGCCTACATTGTTACAATCTGTTTCGTTGTCAGTGAAATAGTGGAAAAAGTATGTACTCGAATTAGGAAGCTGATGTCACTGAGCCCTGTTAAGTTAGCATTAAAACGTTAAAAGTTAAAACTATCATTTTGTAATATTTAACTTTCCTTACCCCGAGTTACCCTTTTCAACTACATGCAGTTATTCGCACAAAGTTGTACCGATGCATGCATTTCCCAGAGTAAAGTTCCGAGTTCGAAATTGATTAGACTTCTCGTTGATTAAGCCCTGCGTGCCGCCGTAAGGTCCGGCCTGACAGCGGGGCACGGCCGAGATCGAGGCCAGTACCTCGACGGGTCGCAGATTTCGCAGGGAACTTGGCTGAAGAGTATCTCTTCGGTCGTCTGTCAGAATGAATCACCTATCGGGATGTAGTTGGACTGAGACGCTCTGGCAGCTCAACAGGTGCCATCTCCGTCTGAATCGCTATTCTCACGCGATTTCGAATTTCTCGAAGCATGTTTCTCCATTCCCTAATTTCTGTCTACTCCTTTTGCACAACCGCGGCAACAAACGGGTCTCAAAATCTCAAGTTTTAAGGACATAAAGAACTTTTGCGAAAAGGATTTTTCTTTCCTGTTTTATTCATGGAGTAAACTTTCGGGGTTATTATGCGTACAAATAGCCGTAGGGACATCATGTCAGACTGGGGAGAAGTGCGCGCATGCCATACATGCACGGGGGGGGGGGAATAAAAAATGTAATTTGTTCCGGGTTATCACTGAAATTAGGCGATATCTATTTTGATTTTTTACAAGGACTCAAGTTCCTTACAATCAGCAGAAGGTTTTTTTTCAGTGTGCATATAATAGCTTCAGCAGATAATAGTCTACAGGACGTTCGGGCAAGCTTGCACTTTCCTGACTGACCAACTTCTCTAACCTATTGAAGACATAAGTAGGCCCTACTTGCATAATTTGAGAAACCTTATACCATTCCAACCGCTCACTTGCTATGAATGCAGTATTTGTCAATGACCGGCGTGTGGTGACAAGGGGATGTACATATGTACATGTGTACGACACAACTTATCTTTTCCAGCCATATCGCGGCTGCACTTGTATGACATGTTCACTAATGATCAGACGTATCCACTGCGGTTTTTCCGGTGATTGTTACCCAACGATTGCGACACAGATAAAGCCAGCTCTACAGTTGAATTGCTCTCATAATGCCTACTCTTGGGAAAGCTGCCCAGTTTGTCCTGACAATAGCTGTTACCAGCCAGCAGTTTTCCAAATAAGTTCAATAACCCCAATCCCCACCCGGTAAACCCCTACCCCCATAATTTCTGACCGTATGTATCATCTTGGTAGGGGATGTGCATCAGTCATTGAATGACTGAATTTGAGAAGTCCAGAGGAAATTCTATAGGCTTGCACGCGAGGTTAAAACTCTGCTGCAAACAGTCGTCGGGGCGGCATTGTCTTCTTAACAATGCGTTGTCAGCTGATACGAACAATAATATACCGGTCGTGTCTCCTCAGGAAAGCCTGCTCAAACTGGATCCCGAGGCCGTTACATTATGCAAATAATTATGATGGAACCTTTGCCCTCTGACGTTACGTCAAACTTGTTGAAATCACGAAGGAAGCACACACTGACCCATGCTAGAAAGCAAAGGCTACGTTACATGGATAGCTTATCAGGTCAAGCACATTTTCGTGTCAAACATCCGCCACGACGCGGCCCCTAACATCTGACTTGATTCCGCCAACTCTGAAGCAGTGGCGTAACCAGACTCTTCTCGGGGTGGCAAGGAGCAAGCAAGAGTTCTCACGCGGGGAAGGGTCTTCCCTGCTCCTCCGGGCTGCGCCAATGAAACTGTAAATAACGGCTCTGTCAACTAAATCCTTGCTAAATGCGTCCATCTAATCCACTCAAAAGTAACACAAAGCAGCACACTGCAGTGGCAACAGCCCCCTCCCCAAAATTAATCCCAATATTTAAAGGACAAGAGTTCCCGCAGGTAGGTCCCCCCCTTGGCTTCGCCACTGCTCCTACTAAACCAAACGCACCTGTACAAGTTGAACAGCCTCGGTCAGCTTTTCCTTCCTCCGCGGGTATGAACGATTGTAGGCCTACATAATCTCTACCCGCAAAAAAGAAGACATTACAGTACAAAAGGTTACCTCATTGCGATGGTAGTGGACATTAATTAATAATTACACTGCCACGGAATGTACAAGCCAGCAAATTTAATTATGTGACAAATACGTGTGGGCGTGTGGATTGAGTTTTATTCCAAGAAAAACTACGAACTTGCAAGCAAGATACATCTCTGACGTATTGCTGTTAACATGGGCATTGTCACCGTCAATAGACTTGGCAAGTTACCAAAATGACCCATTCATTATCAGACTACCAGCAGAAATTTCCATTGACTCGAACCGGAAATCTTTGTCCATTATAAAAACTTTCGTGTTGTAGTTGGGGTTGGGTGGACAGAGCAGAAAAAATAGAAGTGAACGTCACAGAGGGACCGGAAAGGGGCAAGGTTGGGTGCACGATCAAAATCCAATGGTGAAATAGGTCGCTTTTAACCTGCCAAATTACCCAAATTCATTACTGTCCAAACAATTCTCACCTAACTCAGATGAAAAGCGGCAGAATTTGTGACCTTAATAAGTCAATATAGTTTAAATATACTGGGAACCGTCACGATTTTCACAGCTGTTTTTGCCCTGGTTCATGAACTTTGTATCAGCCACACACGTCTGTAAACGGATTAATATCACAACTCCCTTATCAACATTTAAAAAGAAAGGAACTTGATAAAGTAGAAGGGACCGAATACGATTACTCAGTTACACAGTTGAAACAGGTGTCACTGACCCCTTGTTTGTAGTCTCCAAAGAGTAAGGTAATTACTGGAAACAGTCTGGGATTCAACTTGTCAAGTTTGACCGGGACTGCTTCACTGAGAGTACCACATAGACGTACCCACCCCCTAACCCCACCGACTATAATCACTCTGATGGTTACACATTGCTAGTTGTAAAACTCTTTAAAGGAATTAGGAAATCCCATCCGTTGTCAAGAGCCATAGCTATAAAATAGACATATACATGTAGAGTACTTGAAACTTAGCCTGCATCTGTAAGCTTGGCCGAAAATCTTAACATAGGATTTGTGGCATCATTAAAGGTAAAATGAGAGCATGGATCTCCCTCCCAAGAAAAATGACGTCTGTCCACATGAAACGAATAAGTTTTCTCACACGTGACATCTGTCTGCATGTTTTATATAGCTCAGAGAGAACCTATAAATTGCAATCAAATTTATCCACGGTTTTGTTATTACAGTCCCCTTCAAGAACAGGAATTTTTCAGAACATCCCTCAATGCGCTATGTTTTGTGTATTCGTGTGCGCAAGAATCCCACTCACAAATTCACTCACACTGTCCTGAAACGCCGAATAAATTAAAAATGGTGTAACTATTATTTTAAAAATACATCGTTTTACAAAAACGGTCAACAAAAAAGACAACTTTTCTCTGATTTTGTATACATTTTATTTCATCAAGTTAAGTACTGATCAATGAAACACTCCTGTCATACAAAAATATAGCTGTTGTACATTCTGTTGATATAAATAAAGAAATCTCCAATTTTGTTTTTTTTTTTCTCTCTCTCTCTCTTAAAAAAAAAAACCCCAAAACCAAAAACAACAAAAACACAATAATTTTGCCAGGATAAATTCACATAAATAAAAAATAATTTTACATCCCCATAATAAGTGTGATATTACCTAATACCCACGCCCCCTAAACAAAAGATGATTCCAGTGAATTAACGGATACTCCACTAAGTCCCTACTGACGCTGTTCCTCAACAAATGAAGTAAATAACGGAGGATTCTTCTGCACGTGGACGGTGCATGCGATTTCATGGTAACTCACACATCGTTGGAGCTGGAGGTGCGATCAGTAAAACCGTGAAGAATTCAAATGGTCATTAAATTAATATAATTCATTCCATCCGTACACGATCGCTTTGTTTGTATTACCTCGCTGAGCAAGACAGATAACGTTTCTGAAGTGACAAAGTTGAATTCGGCTCATTCGATGCAAACTTGATCTCATGAAAGTGTCAGCTATAAATATATAGTTTCAACTGAGAGATATGAGTGTCAAAAGCTGTCCGTAACCTTTGGCACCAGCGCGGTGTATGATGACGATACGCATCAAAGTGAAAAAAAAAAGAACCGAGAACAATTAAACCAGAGATCAAATTCTGTCCTTTTGCGGACCTTAACTTTCTGCACTGTACTCTGCTATGCACATAAAGAACTGTGTACATGTATTATAACTGCATCTGCATTATTGCAATGTGGTGAAATGTCAGACAACTTCACTGACAAGGAACTAATGTAGACAAGTTTTTGCTTGTCGATTGTTCCTCAGCCCAGCAAGCTGAAGTGGCCTGTGTGCACCAGTGTTTAAAAGGGGTCTTCTACAATACACAAAAACAACTATCTTTGCCTTTCATTTTACTCTCAAAAAAAAAACCTCTTGATTTTTTTATGAGGAATGGGTGGCAATGTAAACAAAATGTACAATGCACCACTTTCGGACAACACTGATGGATGGGGGTGGGTAGGAAATAGGGCCACGCCCCAAAAGGGAAATGTTTGGTCAACATTTTCATTTCCCTCCACTGTACAAAAACATGCAAAAATACTCAAAACTCAGCCTCCATAGTTTATGGTCCCCTTGAACAAAATTTGCTCGGCCCCCCAAGAACGGCTCTGGAGCTGTCCTTGTCAGCGTATTTTAAATTGCTGACTAAACCCGGTCCTACCATCTCCGGCTTTCATAAAAAATGAAGAAAGACAGTTCAAAAGAAGTCTGACGACTCATTGAAAAATAGACATAAGAAAGACTAGATTTCACAAATAATACTGCAAAAAACACTTGTACATTTTGCTTGAGAGAAAGCTTCAACTAGGATAAAACCTTCAGGTCCTCTGACATTTGCAATTTGTATATTTAAGGTCACTGTAGTCAGTGAGCAGTTTACAGCAGTTTTTAGTATTTCCCAAAGAGCTTTGACGTTAAATTTCAGGAACGAATACTCCCTTTTCAAAAAGGGAATTGATGAAAATATGGAAAAAGGTTGTACATACTTGGTCCACAATGCCATGAGAGGCCATATGAGCCTTGAGGAGTGATTTATACCTGACCAAAAGAAGAAAAAAAAGAAAAAAAAAGTGACATCACCGCCTTGGTGACCAGAAAATGTATGATGGTGTTCATTCCCTTAAAAGAATTTAAACTGTTCCGAGAGTTACACCTGCCTGTTGCTACTTGTGATAAACATATTTGATCTATTTCAGCCTGTAACACTGTAGCCCTGGAAAATCACAAACGCAGCAGTCTTGGTTTCCCAATAAATGCCTACTTCCATCTACGAGTGCACCCGGGAAAGAGCTGGAAGGTGACGACTAGATCAACGCTACGACCTAAGCTAAGAGTTGGCGTCCATCACCAGGACCCAGCTTGACAGTGGCATGAAAACAATGCTCACAGTTTTTAAAACCACCATCCATCAAATTATACAGCCAAGCTGAAACTAATATCACATCCAGTTTCGGGAAAACCTGACCTAAGCTGAAAGTATGTCAACTTTAAGAAATATCCCCCAGCACCCCTAATCAACCAACAAAACATTCTTGAATACTAGAGACTGAAACCGCAGTTTAATAACTTATTTTACCTCCAAAATCCCAGAACAATTAACGCAGTTTCCAGCACCGTCTGACTAAAGACAGCCACAGGGATATGCTGCAAAACTCAAATGCATGTCAGATGTTTCTTCCTCCCATGGGAGCAGTTGTCAAGTGATGGACTTCTCCCACGGCTGTGTCCAGCCCAGACACAAGAGTCCATGAAGGAAGAGAGAGATTATCAAGACAAAGAGGTTAACAAGAAAGGCATGGAGCCTCTGGGAACACAAAGACAGCGGGCAAAATCTAGTCCAAAGGATGAGGAGAGTTGTGGCGAATGAATCTGGCCCTGTTTCATGTTTTCTACCTCAATGACACCCGGTACATACTCAGACCTAGCTGACCCGTTTACACCTGATCGGTGAACACACTTTCCTTGGAAGATAAGATACTGACAGCTCGGTCAGTCCTCAGAAAAACCCCCAGGTCCAAGCCCCTGATCACCATATCCCCCAAACCACAAAAGGGACTAAACAGCCAACAACACGGGCATCAAGGTTCATGTGAAGTGATTAACAGTTAAGCGCTCCTCCAAAACCTCCTGGTAGATTTTGAAAGACAAAGAAAGAGATCTGGTAGAAGTCCCCATTGGAATGCAGGATCAAAAGTAACGGAGCATATTACAGAAATGCACACTCCAAATTGCCACATCAACTTTTCTGTCAAGCACAGTGCGACATTACAAAAACCAATTATGACACACTGACTTACGAAGTATGACTGAATATTTTAAAGCATCCTCAAATTATTATAGGCCAACTGTACTCCAGCTAGAACATCTGTGAGTGGTAAAGAATAAATAGAATTGATGAAATTCATTCTATAAACTAGTGACCTGAAAGGTAAGATTGAAAATTGCAAAGCCCCTTGAATTACAATACTGTAATCTTACTCCAGCTAGCGCAGCCGTGATTCTAACGAATTCAACCAATGTACGAAATTCATTCTGCATTATGAAAATACACATACAATTTTCATTATTTTATCAAAATTGTCTCCATGACATGAGATAATTGCTCTGTATATGTGATCAAATCTTGCAAAAGTTATCTTCCGGCTGTTTTTCCAGAAATTTTATCTTATCTTGCATTAGAAAGAGCAAATTGAGCTGTTTTGTTTTGGGACATCACTCAATTCCGTATCTTGATGAAAATGGCTGCTACATAGGCAAAAAATGTTGAGGGGTCCTACTGACTGACAGAGTGCAAGATTCTGTTCATGGTCTGTAACCCAAACATGCCTTTGTTAATTAGCACCATGAGTGCCGTTCATGGCGGATACCGGCGCTCTATAAATTTTCATTATTTTTATTTAGCAACTTACAGGTTCATTTGTTAGGTTGGGGTACATATAAACAAAACCTCAGGCAATACCAATTCATGCTGATTTATCTTTTAGAGAATAACACCACTTAAACAGCTTTTCCTGGATATAAAAAAAAGGATATTCTTGCAAAATATACAGAGATTACACTGGACATGTACATGTATTAGCCAATACTGCAAAAATTAACCTGTCCGAAGTCTGCACATCAATACCAAAAAAATACAACAAATCATTGCATTTTGAATGAGACATCTGTATTTTAACCATTTTACAAAGAAAAATTTCAGATCTGTTAACACAAATATTCAAAAGAGACCTAGATTTTAAAATCTGGGCCTTACGTTTATGCCCATAACCCCTCAGTCCAGTTGAACTTGGTACACAAACAACAACACTCATGAATAATTTAGTATACACGATTCTCAATGGTACGTTTTCTGCCAATACTCAATGTCTACAGTTTGTAATATGCAACGGTGGACATTTTTAATATGGTTTCCCGCAATGCACGCCCGAGTTGTTGGCTAATTCCTTAGAAGGTTAAAAAACAAACATTAAGCCAGTGTTCGAATTGTACTTCATTGGCTACTTCACTGTGCTTTTGAACCTTACAGACGCTGTTATCAAACCACATCTAGTGGCTGATTACAGTCAATAGCAGGGCGTCCTCATGTGATCGTGACATGACATGCAACTACAGGTTTATGGTGGCCATGGGACTTTCTGCTGGCCTCTATAATCCACAGGTGGGCGCACAGAAGAAAAACTATGATCGAATGCGAACGAACACTTGTGATAAAATTTACAATTTTCAGTCCAGTACAAATGTGGCTTTAAAATTACAAATGAGTAAACCGTCCAAATTTCCATCGCTGGCCAAGAATTAATGCAGAAAAAAAGGTACGTAAAACAGTATGCTTTGACACTGGACTGTCATTCTCACATACAGAGCTCAAGATGGGCAATACTTCTCATCAATAACGGAAGGCATGCACACAAAAATCAACTCTCAAAGTTATCTGTAAGCAGTACTCACATACAGGCTCTTACAGCTGAGCCTGTTATGACATAGAAACCGTAGCGGAGAGGGGGAAGCATGACTGTGGATGGGTGCACGAGGGGGTGTGGCTTCAATTTGGGGAGGTTCATATCATTGGTCAAGTCGAGCTTGATGCCATTCAAACTGACGTATCTGCATATAAACAAAAGGCGAATTAGAAATGAATTAGCAATCTGTGCCGGTTGCACTACTGCGCAGCTTAAAAACAGTTCCATTCCAGCATTAGTGCAGAAGTGTCATTTTAAGCGTCTAAAGAGAAACATCAATGAAACTGCACTGAATGTAACATTCAAGGTCCATCAATCCAGGGAGTAGGTTACCAAAGTGTAACAACCCCCACTTTATGACATTACAAAGACTACACTTTTTCTTGGTTTACACTCCAATCGAAATAAATACCACAATGCTAAGACAAGTACCCATCTCTTAGGAATATAACATCACTAGGCTATGTACAGCCATTAATGGGGTCTTGGAGTCCTTAGATTTATTGAAGAATTGAGCTATGGCTAACGAAACCTGCTCAACAGGCTGCGTATTGCTCATTGCTCAGTTTTGGGTACAGATCATTCTTTCACAATTTTAGTCTTTACATCATGAGGCAAACTATTCAATCAAGAGTCAATCAAGTTAAATTGTCAGGTTATGTGGGGCTTCAAGTCAGGCAACACGTATCGAGGCAACGGGGGTGTGCACAAATCCAATGAAACGTCTCTGTCAAAATGCACCTGCATGATTACTTTTACAGACGGAATGACTTGTGATGACCCATAACTTCAGGGCGACTCGTCCAAGTTTCAGGTTCACCAATCACACAGGCTTCTTTAAATTTTCAAAACAGTTGTATTTTGCCAACTTTACGATTTTGATGACCCCAGGACCTGAGTTACCTCGCATGCAGACCATCATCCCCATATGGTGTCAGTGAGTACTCTTCGATGGTCTTCTCTGCCAGACTACCTTGTAAACTCAGCCGTATTCCCTTTGTTTTGTCCAGGTTCAGGGCGAGGATGGTAACATCTCCAGGTCTGTATCTTGAATTTCTAAAATAAAAAAAAATTAGCTGGCTGTACGTTTCTAGTATGGCATCATTTGGTTGGGTATACGTGAATAATGAATACCTAATGACATCTATTGTTCTGATTATATGAATATGAATTAGATTTCAAGCGGTTTAAATTTAAGCTACTACTAAGAAATAGCCTATGGTAAAGCTCAGCGATTATCCATGATACACATGCAGATATGGCGATTGATTATGAAGATGACATGCTGATCTGCAAGTCGTGACTTAATAGACGGGCTCTTCCTATCGTTGCCTTGGATAGTTATTGAAAAACATGGTATGGAGCAGTGGGTAACAAACGTTTCACTAGCCACTGGAGATCCATTGCTAGGAAAATTGCACCCTCTCTTGGTCTACCTCAGTGCCCATAGGGGTGGCTGATAGTTACCAACCAATGGATAGCTTTGGTGTGTTTCCTCACTGAGAGTGTGTCGCAAACTCCATAGCCTGCTCTGGTATCAGGGTTCCCAGTATCTCACGAAAACAGAATTCCTTGATGAACTTCCAAAATTCTAGGGTAACTATTCTGACCTTTGACATGACTAAAAAGCCACCACAGCTGTACGGCCCAGTGAATATAAAAACAGACCGACCACTCTCTCTTTTGGACCAATGCAACTCCTAGACTTTTTCCCTGATTGGCAACATTCTTCTCAAATTCCCTGACTGGAAAGAGGGAACTTCATTTTCCAGGTTTAGTCTGGTTTCCAGGATGGCTTGGAACCCTGTAGTACTGAGCCAGATAACTTTCATTTCAGAGTTGTATTCAGGTCCTTTTTGGAGTCCCCAAGGAAAATTAACATAACATTGGGAGGTAGGAACCAGACCAAAATGCCAAGACAATGTTGGCCGAGTTGCCTTAATAAGGAGTACACAGCGCGCTTGAGCGTTTGGGCATACAGATGCCAAACGGGTATGCAGGAAATATACACATACTTGCAAAAGGACTTGGACTTCCTTTCATGCTTATAAACATTTCTGGCATGTACCTTTTCGAATAAACAGATTTACAGATTAAATAACCAAATTGAAGGCAGCAGTACTTTGAAAATAATGCCTATTTATTTTCAAGCTTGATTCCCACTGAGTCTTTTCGTATTTGGGTACATTTGTTTTGACAGGAACACTGACTTTTATGCGCACTGCACACACATATCAGAGGTTGGCATGAGGAGAATGTATTTCGTACCTTGTTTGGCTGCAGTGGGCATAGATGCGCAGACTGCTCCCACCTTGGTCTATTGTCACATTCAACACTCGCTGTCCCACAAGTTTCTTGTGAAGATATGCCACCCAGTATGCCTGACATGAAAACCGAGAAAGTGAATAAAAACAAGAGACAGAACAATATGGTTTTGGTATCGCTGTATGTCCAGTGCTTTCTGAAAGCTCTCGGCAAAAAATTCAAAAGCTTGCTTGAGTTGGATATAAACCCACAACCTCTGGCTTATTAGTGAAGACATCTGGACCATATGACTGCTAAGCCAGCTGGATGGTTAAATCCCTTAATTTCAGCAGGAAGCAGGAATATCTGAGAACAGTGTAATGTTACAGTGAAGTCCCCAAAAGTAGGACCTACAGCCCAAAGTACGCGTGCTTGATGGGAAAGTTCAAATGGACTCCTCTTAATCATCTATCTGTAGATTTCTTAAGCTGTGACTGGATCCTTTTTGCTAGCTTTTGTGCATTAACAGAATGGATGTGCTTACAAGGGGCTTTATGGTGAGGTATCCTAGAACTGTCCCAAAACCTAATAATGTCAAATATCAAGTTCAAAGATACTTGTAAACTTTACTGACAAATTTGTTTTTGTGTCAAATGTTATAGATAGTTGGAGCCCCATGCTCCCTTTAAAATTTGAAGGGACATTAGGTCAGGCGAGCAAGGTACCAGGTTGGCCTTAGAGCATTAACTGTGGATGTGGACAGCTGTACTGTTATGTTGTTTGATTCCATAAACACTGATCTGGCTCTTTCCTTTTACACCAACTGATTACACCAAGACACCGGTATGGAATTCAGTTCAGTTACGTAAACAACTGTACCCCATCAGACAAAAATTCAAGCTTTCCCTTGGCCTAATGTGCACATCAAATATGGACACACTCATCGGGATTCAGTTTGTAATGCACGTTAGGCACTGCAAGTAGTATGATACAGTTCAGTGGTGTTATGCAAGATGAACTATCATCTCACTTACAGGTCGGGGCTCTATGTTGGAGTTGTTGACAAGGCCAATGAACCTGCCAATGAACTGCTGTTTCATGATGGCTTCCAAGCCCTCCTGAGCACTCACTCCCAACTTGTCCAGAAACCTGGAAACAAGAACACACAGTTCACACGACTGAAGAGTTGGAAACGCAGAGTATGTATACCAACGATAAGAGCGACAATGATCATGACAATGACAGAAAATGATTACGACAGCAATGATTGATAACGATTTGCTGTTGTCCTTTCCTGATGTGATACCACAAGCACATGTGTATAATTAGTGCTACCAACGAGACTGTGAACAAAATTTCCACAATTACTAGGATGGGGCTCAAACCCATAACCAAATACATGCCAGAACTAGGCCATACAGCAACTGTTTTCATTTCGGTTTGGCATTCACAGTTTTTTTTTGACAGACACGGTACCATGATTTCCATGGCTGCACATAGAAAGCCCATCCTGAAGATAGCTTAGATGTCTCATCAGTTTTAAACAGAACTTGCTGTGATAAGGTGGTTGGTTACTATCATATGTAACACAAGTCTTCTTTACAATAGATTATGTTTGAGCAGCACTATCATGTAACTGATTTGAAAACAAACCTCTTTAGGACAATATTAAAAGGCTGTCAGAAATAGGTTAAATTAAAATTTTTTTTTTGTTTAAAGAAAGCATTGTGTCGTTGAGCCAATGCGTATGGTACAGTGTTACAGGATTCACAGTGAAGGATTTGTCATTAATAAGTAAAAAGCTAAGAAGCCACAAAGAAATGAGGAAAGTCAAGTTGAACAAGGCTTTGTAATTTTTTCAATTTTTGTATTGTCATGCATGGGATTAAGCAAAGGTTAAGAAAATGGCTAATCAGAGGAAAGTCTGTGTACCTGTATGAGTTTCTAGATTTAAAAAACCCAAACTCCAGAGCTACCAACTTACGGAAAACCACCAACATATCGATCTGATATTCCTGACACACCCCCGGGGACAGAATCTCCTGTCTCCGTCAGCCAGATCCTGGGAGTTGACTGCGGACGATACTGCCTGACAATGTTCCTTATCGCTCTGATCTCGCCCCTCAGGACGTCGAGGGTGGTGGGATTGATGAAGTCATCCAGCTTGGCCGTGCGGGAGGACAGGTAGTAGCTATGGAAGGTGGTCACATTGGTGCAATCCCCACACTTCGACAGGAATCTGTCAACACGGACCCCGCTTTTCTTGTTAAACCTTTTCGGGGGTGGGGGGGTGGGGACATCTCTTTGTCTGACAGAGTTCGCCATTTAGTTACATATATAACTTCTGTGCTCAGGCACGGTGGAATTTAGAATGACACCTGTCATGTGTGATGATGTACTAACATGGTCTCAACTGATACTGTGGGGAATTAAATGTTCTTACAATTTGAACTCGTCAGAGTCTAACCCTCCCAGATATTACCAAATCCGTTGCAGGAAATTTTGGAAGTTTTTGCAGGATTAAGGATGACAAAATATAACTGCCGCATGGGGCTTGGTGAAGCTACAACGAATCACAGTGGTTTGATTTGGAGGACTCTGTGAATTTGCAGCCAATACTGACCACATTGGATGGATTGGAGTTGGGGTGAAGATTATGCCCTTCTGGATTTCCCAAAGATGCATGTCCATTTTGTTTCAGATATTTGGTCAATAATTCAATGACAATTAAACAATTTAGAATAAATTGCATGAAGGTTGAACTTAAGCCCTTGTCATATCAGCATCAAAGAAAGAGAGATAGGTTTACTGGCTGAATAAGTTCAATTAATTGATATTTTAAATCAGTCTGACATAGGAAAGTAGACAGAAAACTTCAACATCTGTAGGGAAAGTTTTGTAATATTGAAAATTTATTCTTTTTTAAAAGATTTGCAGAAACGACAAAAATTCTTTCTTCTCTTGAGCTTGGAACATTTACTTATGAGGATTGCCTGAGAAAATGCGAAGTGACATATTAGACAGATGTGTCACCACCAAGGCACACACCTGATGAGGTTGGGACGCTAACCAACGCTTATCAACTCTCACTTATGTAGCAATGTACAATTTACCCCTGCAAGAACTTGACCGCAGAGAATCCCAGCAAGTGTCGTGGCTGCGTGACATCTGGGCCAATGATGAGGGCATCTGCGTACTGCTTTCTGGCGTTGAGGAGAGCTCTCAACTTGATGTAGTCTGCAGCCACTTGAGGGGCGGTGATGGTCACTCCCTCTGAGTGTTGATAGGCATTGGGTTCTGTGACAAGGACGGATTGAGAGACAGTAGCGTAGCAGTATTAATGAAGTGGCAATGTGACCAACACTTTTGGGACAGGTCGCATTCAGCATAACTGATCTAGTCTTCATTGTTCAGAATGCATTTGACCAGAGTAAGTCCACCAACCCATACAAGCTTACCCACAGTTCTTGTGCAAATCTGAAGAATGCAAAGTCTAATTCCAATGACCAACATCTTGTCTCTCTTGACCAGAAGAAAGGGGTTGTGTGGTGTGATGCATCTGCCCACTGTTTCCCTCGAAAATGTACCAAATATAACCAACATGTGGCGGTACCTTCAAGTCCATTATGGATGCTATACCTAAGGCAATGGTGTCAAATTTTGAAAATGTAATATGACGTTGTATAAAAATTCAACAGCCCTTCACACACTAGAAGGCATCCCTGTAATTATAAATAAGCGAACTGGGGTGAAAGACACATAGAAATTTGAGTAATCATTACATTTTTGGTATCTAAATGTTCTGTCAGGTAGTATTTTGGCACAGGACTGCATAGGAACAGTATGGACGGAAGCACTGTTACCATTTCCCATCTGCCAGACCGGCACTGTGTAGTTCATCGCTGTGTTGTAATCCAGTAATGTTTTGAAGTTGGTTGGGTCCCACTGGCCATTTGTCCGCAGGAATTCATTGATGTCAAAGATGAGATCCCAGCCCAACGAGCGACTGAAATTATTGATTTCATCCCAGTCTCCACCTGTCAAAGAACCATCATGACATCATCGATGATATTTCTCCTACTCCTACTTGACAATGTCAATGATACAAACTTCTATTTTCTTTTTCCTTAATGTTCAAAAGGGCCACCCTCTGAGGGCCACTTTCACTTTAAGGAGTGGAGCATGAATGTATACTGGAAGTCTGCACTTATAAATATCAAACGCTAGAGGGTTCCTACAAGCCTGTTTGCACTGAGAGCAGACAAACAGAAGGATAGGGCAAGGAACTTGTATTTTGAAAACCAAGCAATTTTTCAAAGATGTCATAACACAACAATGCATTCCGGCTAATCAGTGGTCTTGTCAGTTCTGGCATAAAGATTGACAGACATGGTTCCTTATTATGTCTCAATTCTTCGGATGGGATTGCTATTCTAGCAAGTCAGCAAGTTGGATATCGAGAGGGTTTCTACTTTGCATGTAGTGTAAAATAGTACTCCCTGTCAATGCTTTCCTGATACCACTCTTCTCTGTAAGTGGGCCTGAGCTGAGATCCACATGAATAGGTTGTGATTTGACTTGTGTAATTAGACCTGCAAACCACGACAGTTGCAAAAAAACCTGACGTGAGATGTGAAGAATTTGGACAGACTGACACCCCACAAAGTCCCTGCCAAATTGTCTGATGCCACTAACACAAAGGAGCATTTTTAGGAACACTCTTTAGACACAGAATTGTTTGTTTCAGTTTTATAACAGGACTGCTAAATGTAAAGCTGTGCCTTCTTTTCCATTTTGGATGGTTTCTTTATTCCTTAACCGGACGATAACAACAGGCATGCAACTTGGAAATACCAATCTTTCCAAGACTTTGTGCAGTGTTTTTCAATTTTCATGAGTGGGAAGGGAAAAATGACCCAAATCAGCTAGGTTCAATGCCCGCATGTTACAAATGCAAACAATAATTGCCTGCCATTTTTTGGTCAGGCAAGGACAGAGGACAGGGTGGGGTTGGTGAGGAGGGGGGGAAGGCATTTCCATCACTCACTTTTTCACTGGTACACAGCCGAATCTAGACATGAAGATCATTATTGTAAAGAGTAAATCCTGAGTGTTTTGGAATTCCTTTTGTGTTAACTTTCAGGTCCTTTTCTAAAGAGATTTTGGTTACAACAATGTAACCGGTGTAACTAGTTTGGCAAGTCCCAACAATTTTGTTAAGTTGAGAGTTGACTACATGCACTCTACAGGCACCATAACGGACCTTCAACTCATCCTGGCAACTTAAAGAAAGCAAAATAGATAGTTTAGGGCCACGAACAAACATATCTGTACTGCCACTGAGTCAGATCATTTTATTGTTAAAACCATCCTACAGATCCAAATAAAGTCAGTAAGCCTATTTCCAAAGATATGCCTTGGAGTTATGCACGGGCCAGAGAGAGCATCCTCAAAAAGAGATCAGTTGTCGCACCCGTTGGGGTGGGGGTGAAGTGGGAGGGAGGCTACAACAGCAGCCAATAATCAAGTGAGAGATTGGTGTCTATGAAGACATGGGACATGGAAAAGGGATGAAAGTAAAGATGGCCACATCACTGATTCTCTCTGCAAATGTTTGGAAGTTACTCAGTAATTCGGTTTGTAAATTATCTCATACTGTAGTCAAATGATAACACATTTTCCACTGAATACATTATAAATTATTCATAATGTTTATAACCTATCCATAGCAACACTTACATGTACTTTAGTATTTTCATTTATTAAGTAACTCTTAACGTGTTCTGCTGCTTTGTAATATAAGTTTATTGTGCGGTTAACAAAGTGTAACGAAAACCCAAAAATCTGCTCCAAAAGCAAATGTTAAAGTGACATTATATTAATTCACACCTACCTGTGAATGTGAAATTTTTGAATTTGAGTTGCTCTGCATCCAGGGAAGTTTGCTTGAAGAATGCAAAATTGGCCCGACTTCCTCCCAAGCGTAAAAAGGAAGGAGACAGACCCTCACCGAGAGTATGCAGTTGTCTCAACCTGTGATGGCCCCCCCAAAAAAATAATTTGGGTTTAAAATCCGATCTGAAAACAGTGACATCACTGATGAAAAAATTTGGACAGATTCCAGAAATGGTGTTTCCCAAATCAATTTTGAAATTGAAAGAACAGCCATCGCACTTTGTGATAGATATGAGCAAAAGAGGGACAGATATGAAAAGAAAACGGCGTTCATGTACAGGGGAGAGGTTAAGGGTGGGGGAGGGGTTAGGGCTGGGGAGTGGTTAAGGGTGGGGAG